TACGGATTGGACTCAGATTGTTAGGCATGTACAACAAACACTTCACATGCTGATCCATCTTGTCAGCTTGATCAAACATTTCTGAAGGAAAAGTTAAAACAGATGGCAATTGACTGATAGGCTGTAGTTTATCACTGTATTAAGTGGGCTTAATCAGTTTATCACTTTATTAAGTGGACTTAATAAAGAATTCTGAGTTTTCAGCCCAAGAGAACTTGAGTGTTGGCAGTATAGGGGCCACCTCAAGACAACCCATGTTGCAATGGCCAAAGATTCTTGACCAAAGTTTAGTGATAGCTGTGAGTCTTCTTCTAGGCCCATCTACTTTAGCACACACACAGACACCCCAACCACTGGCTTTCCTAGCTTATCTGTGCACTATTTGAAGAGTCCTGAAAAGGCTGTGGATCTGTGTTAGCTTTTTGATACTGTAATATGGTCTGAGATAATCAACTAGTCAACAAAAGATATTTTACTCATGGTTTTAGAGGTTCTGCCTGTTACTGATTGGCCTAATAGTTAGGGTCAAGTGGCAGCAGACTGTAATGGTGGAACTCACTCTATGGTCAGGACACAAAAGGAGAGAGAGGAGAAGGGACCCAGATTCTGTGTGGTGGTATTGGGTTCCCCGAAATATTGTGCACCCTAATAAACTTATCTGGGGTCAGAGACAGAACAGCCACAATATTAAACATAGAGGATAGGCAGTGGTAGCACACGCCTTTAATCCCAGCACTTGGGGGCAGAGCTAGGCAGAAATCCATGTGTTCAAGGATACAGCCAAGCATGGTGACTCACGCCTTTAATCCCAGGGAGTGATGGTAGAAGGCAGAAAGATATATAAGGCGTGAGGACCAGGAACTAGAGGCATTTGGCTGGTTAAGCTTTTAGCTGGTTAAGCTTCAGGCTTTTGAGCAGCAGTTCAGCTGAGAGTCATTGGGATGAGGACACAGAAGCTTCCAGTCTGAGGAAACAAGACCAGCGGAGAAGTTGGCCAGGTGAGGTTAGCTGTGGCTTGTTCTGTCTCTCTGATCCTCTAGTGTTCACCCCAATACTTGGCCTCAGGTCTGATTTTATTAATAAGAACTTTTAAGATTCATGCTACAACTCCGTTATCCCCTTAAGGGCCACCCCAGTTACCTAAGGTGACCCCTCCTAGAATATACCTCTTAAAGCTTTTGTCACCTTCCAGTGGTAACATTGTGCGGAAACGTCCGAGGCATGTGGACTGTTGGGAGACTTCTAAAATCCAAGCTATCATTAGAGCCTTCCTTCTAGACAAGACTCAAATGTTTCTATACATTTTTGTTTGTTTTTGAGACGGGGTTTCTCTGTGTAGCCCTGGCTGTGCTGGAACTCAGGGGCTCTGTAGACCTTGAACTCCACCTGCCTCTGTCACCTGAGTGCTGGGATTAAGGGGTGTACCACCACTGCCCAGTTAATGTTTGCATACATTTAAACTGAAGCCATGAACTTTCTGAAGCTGTGGCAATCTCTGAGGCTGTGCAGAGAGCCTAGCCAAGTGTGGGAGTCCCAGGTCCGTTGGAGACTCCATCTTAAAAAATTAAAAACCAGCATGGACTCCCGAAGAACAGCATCCAAGACTTGCCTCTGGCTTCCACGCACATGTGCACTTGCACACCTCCAGTTTTCAAAAGCACCCTTATGCAAGGACACAGGCCCAGAAACTGTCCCACCGCAGAATGCTGCTTCAAACGGTCACCACTCTTTTTATTCATCGTTATGGCGAAGGGCTCCTGTTTCAAAACGGCTGATGTAACTCTCTTAGTTTTATATTTAATAACTTCCCCTTCCTCAGCCTTTTCATTCCCTTAGTTTACTATGGTCTGTGCACCCCATTGCAGTGTCTGTTCCCGTAGCAACTCTATTCTTCCCAAAGAAATAGCAGTCTTTGGAGAATCTCTGGGTTTGGTTAGGTTGACAATGCTTTCTTATAAGCAAACTTTAAAAATTAAACATATCTCTTAAAAATCGTATTTTCTTATTCAACAGACACAGATCCTAAACATAGCATTTTAATATAGAAATATGCAGAGAAAATCATTAACTCAACTACTTGTTAGTATTTTAAACACTGATTACATATGATACACATATAATATATGTGAAACCTGTCTTTCTATGAACGTAACCATAAGTGCATATTTTAAGGGAAAGAAAACCCCATGTATACATTGCTTCATAAATCAATTGTCTTTTCCTAAAAACTTCAAATAAGTCAGTTACTTCCTGAAACATTGCTAAGGGCCACATAGGGTATATGTCTATCACAGGCTATCACAGGCTACCACAGTCTACCACAGACTATCACAGGCTATCACAGGCTATCACAGACTATCAGAGGCTATCACAGGCTATCACAGGCTATCTGGTCTAATGTCAAGCACTTGTCTTTTCTTACAAACAACACTTTGAACATTTCTTGACACTGATTTAAAGTTTTATTTTTACATTTTATTTATTTACTCACTTAGTGTGTGTAGGGGTTGCACACATACCACAGTAGAAGTCAGAGGGCAACCTGATTTCTCTTTTTACCACGTGGATCTCAGGAATCACACTGAAGTCATCAGACTTGGCAGCAGGTCCCCCACTGAGCCATTCCACTCAGCCAGTTTTGTTTGTTTGTTTGTTTGTTTGTTTTTTCCACTCAGCCAGTTTTTGAGGCTAGTTTTTCTATCTAGTTAAAGTGCTGCACTCCCACCATAAAAAAAAAAATTTTTTTTTAGGGGCTAGAGAGTTGGCTCAGTGGTTAAGAGCACTGGCTGCTCTTTCAGAGGACCTGGGTTCAATTCCAGCACCCACATGGCAGCTCACAACCATCTCTAACTCCATAACTCCAGTTCCAGGGGATCCAGTGCCCTCTTCTGACCTCCTCAGGCACTGCATGCACATGGTGCACAAGCACCCATTCAGACAAAACACCCTCACAGAAACTTAAAACTCAAACAGAAAAGCAAGGCCCCAGACACATCCCTAATGGAACCCCATGACCCTCTTCTGTACGCGGACTGCGGTCGGTCTCTTCAACAGCACATCGGGCATGAGACTTGAGGAGAAGGTCAGAGTGAGGTTGGGAGTTTTCAAGGACGTTTAGCTTAGAGGAGACAAAACTTTCATTTTTTTGCTGTGGTGCTCAGGACTAATTCAGCAAACACTTCAGAAGCAGCTCTGAGGGCAGCTGTAGTAGCTCAGGCAGTTGCTGCAGGAGGAAGCAATTTTCCTACGTTGCAAAAAACCAAAACCCAAAACCAGACAAGCAAACAAAGAAACAAAAAACAAAAAACTAACAACTACCCAAGCTCTGATCCTTCTTCCCCCCCACCCCACCCCCGCCCCCAAGGGCCATTAAACATGAACAGAGATCAGGCTCAACAAAAAGTCACTTTGCAGCAGGATTAACTGGAGGCTGAAGCCAACATGGACTACACAGTGAAGTCTAGGCTATCCTGGGGCTACCAGTGAAAGACCCAAAACCCTGTCTCACAAAACAAACCAAACAAACAATAACTTAATCAAATAAAGGATCACATGTGTGTAACTGATACTTGAAGACATGCTGACTGACTGCAGTGTGATGACTTGGGACACGTGTACTCTATTACCATTCCCTGAAAGTGATGGATACCTTCATGCTAGCTTTCACAGCACACCCATAAGCACAAGAACACTTTAGGTCAGATGTTCAGACATTTACGATTCATAACAGTAGCAAAATTATAGTTTTGAAGTAGAAATGAAAATAATTTTATGGTTAGGGTCATCACACATGAGGAACTGTATTGAAGGCTCACAGCGTTAGGAAGGTCAAGAACTGCTGCTTTAGATGGTGTTGCATAGGAGTGAGTGCATTACTGCCCATTACATTAATTTGAGTATTGATTTTATCATGATGATGATGATGATTTTGAGACAGATTTTCACTATGTAGCTCAGCCTGTGTTTGCCAGCTCTCAGCAAGCATGGAATTACAGGCACCAGCCATTCTGCCTTCCTCCTTTAAAAAGTTAATTGATTTATTTTAGAAAAGGTTTAGGCTTACAGGGAAAAAAAATCACAAGAATTCTCACACTTCACATCAGTTTCTATTATTGCTGTCACTGGGTTTTTTTTGTTTTGTTTTGTTTTGTTTTTTTTCAAGACAGGGTTTCTCTGTATAGCCCTGGCTGTTCGGGCTTGAACTCATAGATATCTGCCTGCTGGGCCTCCTGAGTACTGGAACTAAAGGCGAGCGCCACCACTGCCAGGCCTTGTCATTGGCATCTTACATTGAAACACACGTCTTAAAAAAAAAAAAAAGTGATACTCGTTATATTATTAACTCAAGTCCAAGTTTTGCCTGTTTTTTAAAGTTTTTTTCCAATGTCCTTTTCATAACTGCTTTTTAAGATACTGAACAACTTGTTTGTACTCCATTTTATAATTGCACACTGGGGAGGCTGAGGCAGGAGGACTGCCGTCAGTTCCAGGCCAATGTGGGCTACATAGCAAGACCCTATCTCAATAAAGTAAAATTCATTAGTGATGGTACAAGTTTATCTCCCTTGGGAGGAAGCGGCAAGACGTCAGAAGTTCAAGGCCAGCCTCCACAGCATAGTGGTTGGAGGCCATCCTGGGCTCCATGAGACCTGGTCTCAAAAAGAGAAAAAGAAAGTTAATTTGCACTGTTAGACACAACAGGCCTGGCGTGGTGGCACAGGCCTTTAATCCCAGTACTCGGGAGGCGAGCAGAGGCAGGGGGATGGATCACTGAGTTCGAGAACGGCCATGTCTACAGAGGGAGTTCCAGGGCAGGCAGGGCTACACAGAGAAACCCCGTCTCAAAAAAAAAAAAAAAGGAAAGACGCAAAGCGAGAGCACCGCCCGCCGGGAGCCGCGGCAGGAGGCGCGCGCCCGCAGGGCCGGGCGGGCACGCGCGCGGCCGTCCCGCCGGAAGAGCGCGCCTGGCGGGGCTGGGCGGCGGGCGAGCGGTGCGCGCGGGCGCCCGGGGGCAGCACCCCGACCCTGCGCGGGGCCCGGGCCCGCCCGCGCCTCCGGCGGACGGCGATGTGGCGGCTGCGGCTGCTCGTCCTGGGGGTGCTGGCGGCGGGCACCGCCGAGGCCCAGGCGAACTCCACCGACGGTGAGCCCCTCTGCAGGGCCGCAGGCCGCCCGCGTCTGTGCAGCCCTCCCCGGGCAGCAGGCGCGCCTCCGGCCGGCCGGCCGCGGGTTCGGGACCTGGGCCATCCTGTCAACGCCTCGCTGGGGCTGGGAACCGGGAAGAGATAAGTAGCCCCCTCTCCGACATTCGTCCCTGTAGGGAGCAGCCATGTTTGTAGTTTTAAGTGGACACGTTGAAACGGCCTTCTCAGTTTACTCCTCTTGGCACAGCACCCTGGAGGCTGCGGCAGGAGGATTAGGAGTTCGAGGCCAGCCTGGGGAGTGAGAGTCGGGGCCCAAACAAACAAAAACTAAAACCAGACCTAATGCTGAGTCTGTCGAGGAACTAAGGCATTCCAAGCAGCAGGTGGCTTTGACACTGAGAAATCTAGATGCTTTCCAAACGGGTCAAGTTTTGCAGTTGGAGATGGGACTTGAAATCCTAGGTCAATTGCTGAGTGAAAAGGCTTTAAGTGACTGCTGGGGGTGCGGGTGGGCTTTAATGGGAAATATGAAAAGCACTAATTGTGCCAGGCTGGTGATCACGCGCTTTTTCTGGTGAAGTTATTCCTTGTTTGGAGCTTGAGACAAGTAGCAAAGACAACAAACGGTCTTCTGGGCGATGGGATCGTTTTTTCCCCCTGGATGCTTATCTCTGAAAAGCCTTGGTTAGAACTGCATTTTAGGAAATTTTTGTACAACTAAGGCCAATGCTGAAAAATACAAATACATGTGTTTTTAATGTACACACACACACACACACACACACACACACACACACACACACACACAGTTTTCTTGAAGAAAACTCTGGCTTATAGAAGGGGGAAGCGCTAGCCTCTGGCAGTGTGCTAGGCTCCTTTCCTTGGCTGAGTTCCCTAATCCTAGAAGCCTTGGGAGATAACGGTTTCCCCTGTGGAGGCTCAAGACGTTCACTGCACGAATGAGCGGCTGGTAGCAACACCAGTGCGGCGCCCTGGGAATTGCAGGGCCTTGCACTTCAGCAAAGCCCCTTTTTGAAAAGGGTGCCTAGCCCGGGCGGAATTGGGGCTGCGGCTCAGTTGGTAGAGTGCTTATCTAGCACCTAAGAAGTCCTGATTTCCACCCCCAGCCCACAGGGACCGGGTGTGGTGGTACATGCCCAGAGCCCAGAATTCACAAGGTGAGAAAGAAAAGTAGAAAGTTGAGAGTTAGTATTTTCCTTTTTGTACCCTCACCTCTGATTACGACACGGTACTTTGGCTTGCGCTGTTCCTTCTGCCCTGTCAGTATTGTTGGTCAGTATTGTTGGTGCAGAGAGGGAGGGGACTCGGACTCAGCAGCCGATAAACACTCATGTTCCCCACGCCTGGCTAGTATGGACACACAGTAGAAGGCTTGCATGACCCTCCTGTGAAGCGGCTGGGTTGTTAGGATACGAGTGTCAGGAACTGGACAACCTCTGCAATTTAGGAGGATCTGCTGGACCCCAGCAGGTGAGGGGACCGGGCACCCAGGTAGTGGCTTGATGCTTAGTGAGGGTTGGGAGAGAGATGGAGATCTGTATGTCTAAATAGTCCTCCTTCTCTTGGAGTCCCAGTCTCTGCTTGCCTAGGTGCCTTCATTTTTGTTTTAGATTCATACCCAGTTGCTCACCTGGAAACCCACCTGTAAGAGTTGAGTGGGGCGCACCTTTTGTATTTCGGGAGTGCTCTGAGTAGGCCATGGCGCTTCTGTGTATAGATGCACGTGGAAACTTTCTTCCAGAGTGTTTGAAAGGCCGTGCGTTCATTGTTGTGTGTCCTTTTAGTTTATACATTTGCTTTGTGGAATTGAAGAGTGGATCCTGCACATACCACACAAGCATGGCACCACTCAGCTAGATCCCCGATTCTTGCCTTTTCATTTTTTTGAGCTAATGACAGTTCATCTGAAGATAAAAGCAAGTAATCAGCAGCTGAACTGTAATTCTGAGCACCTCAGAGGCTTCAGCAGAAGGATTGCCTTCAGTTCAAGGCCAGTGTAGGTTACACAACAAGACCCTATCTCAAAACACACCAACAACCCACAAACAAATAAAAATTATGAGAGACAATTGAATGCCAGCCCGCTGAAGTAGCTGGGTCATTCTTGCTCAGAGTGTTTTTTTCACGGAGGAATTAGGAAAGCTAGACTTTGTTGGCACTCCTGAAGTTGGCTGCTGTGTGTGCGACCAACAGGGAGGGAAGTGCGAGGTACATTTTAGTACCGCAGCAAAAGAAGGAGTTGGGCATGTTAAGATAGGGGTCTGATTGGGAAAAGGAAAGGATTAGGAATGGAAGGCCTTTCTAGAATGGAGTTAGTGGAAGGAAAAAATGTTTCTGTCTGATGAAGGATGGGAAGTGCGTGTGAAAATAGAAAACAGTCCCTTCTATTCAGAGGGCAGTTGGGGTTGTTTTTAGAATGTCAGACAAAGCAGAGGCACAGAGTGCAGTGTGAGTCAGCTCGCCATCTTGACTGGGCTGCCGCTCTCTAAGGCCCTTTGATGTGCAGCTTGTCTTCTTCCCCCCCATCCCCACCCCCTAAACCCCCCCCCCCCCCCAGTCATAAGAGCTAATTATGCCTGTCAGATGCTTCTGGTGACTCCTTCTCCAGATGGCCTGGAGGTGAATTAGGCTCCTGTTAACTTCTGCAGGATGTATTTTGGGTATGTCTTCTCTTGCCAAGTCTCTTTTGTGAGAAGAAATTAAATGCAGTTTCCAGCAGGTCTGGTGTCTCCGGCTTGTCATGACCCGGCTAACTGTTTGGGAAGTTGAGGCAGAAGGATTGCAATTTCAAGGCCCATTTGGGCAGTAGAGTAAGTTCAAGGGTAATGTGGGCAACTTAGGCCGTTCCTGAAATGCAATATTAGAGAGGAGCTGGGGGTGTGGTTTTTAGTGGTAGACTGCTTGCTTAGTGCTTGAGAGGCTCTGGGTTTATTTTCTCTCTCTCTCTCTCTCTCTCTCTCTCTCTCTCTCTCTCTCTCTGTGTGTGTGTGTGTGTGTGTGTGTGTGTGTGTGTGTGTGTGTGTGTGTGTGCACGCGCGCTTGGATGTGCTCTGCTCAGGGCTTCATATGTTAGTACACACAGTTACTTCTTACCCTTCTTTTCTTTCTGGATTCTTTTGGTGATGCTGAGGATTGAACCCAGAGCCCTGAGCAAGCTCTACCACTGAGCTATCCCCCTGGCCCCACCATTGAGTATCTCTCATTGTTTCTGTGGAAGTCCCCTCATTGCTGCTTATGATAGGCCCAGCATCTCTGGGAATGTTCACCCCCACTCCCCACTACTTTCTCTGTAGGGCCAATTTGAGAATGCCTGGATATTTTTGGTTTTTCTTTGAGGCGCTGCATCTCCAAAGCGCTGGCAAGCTAAGGAAGCTCATGATCCATACTATGCAGCATCTGATGGTTATAAAACCATTTACCCATTTGTTTGGTACTTTTAGACGCCCAGCGGCTTCTGTAGCATAGTTACCTCCCTTTTACCGTGAAAGAAGAGAGGCCCAGAAGAAAGAAATACCTTGCCTCAGGTCCCGTAGTTCGATCTCTGTTGAACAAGCATTTACTGCCAGGCGACTGGTACAGTGCCAGACGCTGGATCATCAGATGTGACAAAGACCTGCATAGCTAGGAGGGAAACCACACAAGTTTGGGCTAAAATGCAATCTTCTATACACATTGTGCAATGGTTCTTGGATGACCAATCATTCCCACACACAAAAGAGCTCAGTTAAGAATGGAGAGGTATGTGTATGTCTCTCTTAGTCACGAACATGGTGTTTGCAGTTCTCAGTTGCCTGGAGAACTTTCTGTTTTGTTTTTTGAGACAGGGTCTTGTATAGGCCAGGCTAGCCTTGAATAACCCACTATTCAAGGATTGACTTGAACTTCTGACCCTCCTGCCTACACCCTTCTCCCCAGTGTTGGGATTACAGCATCCAACACCTGCTTCTGCATTGTTGGTGATCAAATCCAGGGCTTTGAGCATGCTAGTCAAGCCCTCTACCAACTGAGTTATAGTCCTAGCCCTTCTCCATGTTGTTTGAATGAGTGTTTGTTTTTAAATTCATGTTTGCAGCTACTGCTAGGGATTTTTATTTAAGTGGTATGGCTGAGTCTTGGCAACACGTCACCTCCACGTGATTGTCACAAACAACCAAGATGTATTGTAATTTCCTTATGATAAGGACAATTCTGATAACTATAGAAAATGTGATAAATAAGGAGCTGTGTTGGAAAGAAGAAATAATTTAAGGTACCCGTTCTTAATGTTACTGATATTAAAACAACAGGACCAGGTTTTCGATGCCAGACAGTGTCTCCCCACCCACCTTCACTATCTGCCTGGTTCCTGCTACAGGTGTGTGGGGGTGGGACTTCCGTGAAGCATAGTCTCTGAAAATGCAGTCCACACCAAGCAAGAGTTCTGGTGGTTCCTGGAAGGCTGGGTGGAGTTCTTGAAGGAGGCAGAGGCTTAGACTTTCAGTCCTACCCTCTAGATAGTGTCAAGCTGTTTGTTTCCATTTATGACTTTTTAGACAGGAATACACCTAGATATAGTTTAACCATAAGGCCATCTGTTACTCCATGCCAGCAAAAATCTCACGTAAGTTAATTGTCTGACCTATATGCTTTCTAGAACACTCCCACAAAGCAGAACTATTTTATTTTGGTAAAATTTTGAGAGAGAGCCTCATGTAATGCAGGCTGTCTTCAAATTCACTATCTAGCTGAGGATAATCTTGACCCCGCTCTTCCTGTCTCTACCTCTGCGTGCTGAGATTAAAAGTATGCTTGCCATGCATAGCCATTTTTCTTAATTTGTTTTCATACTAGAATAGCAGCATTTATCCTCATCAATAGATGTGTTTAGTCAATATGATATGCATGCACAATGCATACTAAATAGCTTTAAAAAAGGGCCAAGCTATCCGGCGGCGGCGGCGGTGGTGGCGCACGCCTTTAATCCCAGCACTAGGAGGCA